TGAAGCACGTGGTAAGAATTTTGTAGCCCGCATTGTGCAACAATGCAAGGATGGTGCTGCCCTGAAATTAAAGCTGCCTTACGATCAGTTTGCCTCGCCTACCAATGCCTTTGATATTGCCCGTGCAATGTTCCTTTTATTACGTGATCAGCATGCAGGCGTTTACCATATCGGCGGCACCGATTATATGAACCGTGTATCATTAGCACTGCGTGTATTGAAATATTTTCCCGCGGCAACTTATGAGCTGGAAGCTATCAGCACGGAAGCCTTACAGCAACCAGCAGCGAGACCTCTTAACGGAGGTTTTGTGACCGCTAAGTTTTCAAAAGCATACCCGGAGTTTTTGTTCAGCAACCTGGACGATTATCTGAAGCAATAAATAAACGTACCATCCATACTGATACAAAAAACAGCCAGCACATTATCCGTGCTGGCTGTTTTGTAAAATAGAAACGCCCGACACAACTCGGACGTTTCAGGATCGCGCTTATTAACCCATCGTAAGCATAGCAAATATCCAAAAAATCTTTGAATTTCTATAACCGATTTTTCCCCAGGCGCTCCGCTACCCCACGCTGCCCTGCCGATTTATTCCAGGATACGACAATAAATACCAGAAATTTGACACAATGTCATTTAAAATAAAAACAAAATGACAAAATGACTCAAAACAATAACTGGTACATGATTTGCAATGGTTAGGTAAACGCTCTAAAAGCAATCAATCATTTAAAATTTAATAATCATGTACAGAAACATCATTCAGCCTAAAGTAATTAACGGATTTTTTGACGACCTTTTACAAGGTGGTATCCACAAAGTCTGGAACGAAGCCGACAACCTGATCAACAACGGGCATACGCCGGTTAATATCCAGGAAACAGATAAAGCCTATGAATTGTCGGTGATTGCTCCCGGCCTGAGTAAGGAAGTATTTAAAATCAATGTTGACAAGCATGTGCTGTCTATTTCTTACCAGCATCCGGAAGAAAAAGCAACTCCTGAGACCGAAGCAAAATGGTTGCGTAAGGAATTTAAAAACCGCTCCTTCAAACGCAGCTTTACCTTAAATGAAAAAACGGATGTAGCGG